TTACTTTGAGCGTTTATTCCGTCTATGAACTCAACGGTTTGGCTGAAGATACTGAGTCGATAATCATCTTCTTCGTGAGGAATAGCGACGGAGTAACTGACAACAGCGACTCGAATTTCAACACAGCTATACACTGAATACTCTCTCTTGAAATCCTCATATCTCTTTCGAATGCTTCCTTCATTTGCATAGCCTTCGACGGAATGAATTATTGATACTACGGCAAGCAGCGAGACTACGAACATCCACTGAGACGTAAAGAACTGTTACGCAATGTGCGTCACAGTACATTGGTAGAATCTGAAGCAGGATCATGCTTCTCCTTAGATTCTGGGGCCAAGAGGAGTAGGTGTTGCTTACATGCTCAAGTTACGAGCAGGTGAAGCGATAAAATGACGGGGAATAGGAGCGCTTGTCTCATTGTGTGTCAAAGCTACGCTGCGCAGACTTGTGTCAAGATTCGATAACCGAACTCAATATTAGAACAGGATGGAATTCTACTCCTCTAGTATGGTGTGAAAATGTATATATAGTCCTTTAAAGGCCCAATTGGAGGTTGTCCATCGTTCTCCTCCGTTGTTGTTTTTCTCTGTGTTGTGTACCTGTGTGCGTGACATGTCAATTTCGACATGTAGTGCCATCACAAAACAAAACGAATATTACAAACACTGAACGGGGAGCTGCAAAGAGTACTCGCTGCTGCAGCGAGTACCCCTCGAGAAGCAACTGCTACACAGCTGTTAATGGAGCTTTGCATCATTGCAAGCTCCACTTGCTAGGGTTCTCGGGTTGTGAGGGTTTTATAACTTTCGCACGTGTAACACCCGTGAAAAGGAAAATACTGGTGAAATCTCATAGTCACTGGGGTTGCGAGAGGAGTTCCAATCCGCGGCCTGATGCCGAAGGGTTGAAACTCGGACCCGGGTAGTTTCGCTTTTGCAATTCGCTGTTTTGCAACGGTTGTAGATATAATACGAGACTCGCAATGTTGTTGGGAAACGTCCGACGTGGACTCAGTAATACAACATGATTGCTGCATTATGCAACTTTCGGGGAGTTGCTTTGATGCTCGTTCTTCGTGCAACGGTTGCGAAAATGCTCGAGGTAATGCAACGCGGACGTTTCGCTATTTTGGCGGAAGACAGGGAGGTGATTGTGGTCCGCAATTCGCAAGCGCCGTTTCCGCATTATATTATTATCAGTATTACAATGTAACACACCCTTATGTAAGAAAATACGTAACAAGGCAGCATCCTACAGTAATGATTTCTTGCGTAGAACACCATCTGCTATCCTACGCTTGCCGATTGGAGGTTGTACAGCATTGGTCGAGCTCTGAATCAAAAATGTCGTTACCATGCTATAGTAACTGTAGTATGCAAGAACGGTGAATGTTTCATATCGCGAATAATGTTGAACTGTTGAACTGGCTTTTATAGCGATAAGAACGAACCATAACTGAACAATACCGGAAGCAGGAAATGGGAATCGCTTAAGGTGCACCTTACGAACGAGACTTCAGCTTAGTGCCCCCACTAATAGTGCGGCTGCTCATCCACGCAAAAGCTTCCCGTCGAAACTTTCGACTCGAAAGATACAGAAATCCAAAGGAAACACAACATACGTGAACTGATTTAGTTCAGAATTGCGAAGTTCCCACAGTGAACAAACAATATCCTGATAAACGCTGTATCCAACTACACCCGTGATCTATGATGAGAGTCCTCAAGCGCTAGTTTTTATCGTAAACCCCTCACAAAAGCGAAAAATTCGCTAAAAGTGAAATATTTCACTGAAATTTTTTCCATGATATGTTTGAAATATTTCACTGGAAAATTCTTGAAATATTTCACTATGAAATATTTCAGCCACCCTGGACTGTCCCTTGACGGTGATTATTTCCACCGTCAATTACCAGTCGATATTCCCAGATTTTGTGATATTGAAGGGAGAAAGCCTGCATAGTATGATGATCATAATATGATCTATGCGCTATAATGATGATCCCCGTGTTCTCAAGGTCTAGCAGACTGTTGCTGTCATAGACGAAGTTGATGGAGACGATTGAAAGTCACTGAAAACGCAATTTTGAAAAAATGAGAAATATTTCAAAATTTCCAGAAAATTTCGGAAAATTTCGGAAAATTTCGGAAAATTTCATAAAATTTCAGTAATATTTCACGCTGTCGCAGCACCTGGCTTCAGTCATTCTCCAGTCTTGGACGCCCTGGAATGTCGCGCCATCCAGCACGAAAAATAGCAATTTCTCTTCGAGTTTTCTTTCTGGACGAGGTCAATTCAGGGGTAATTGGGTAAGGAGAAATTAATAGAGGAGGAACCGGCACAAAACTCATTATTCTTATCGAGATTCTGGTCCGTCCGGACCTCGCATTTGTACATGTACATGTCGCGTACTGTACGTAGCTGTTCAGTGACTGAACACGTCGGAAAACCCGAATCAGAATTTCTGATTCAGAAATTTTTGTTGAGATATTCATTCATCTAAGATAGGAAGTCGCGAAGTTCCTGCAGATTTTGATTACAAAGAAGCTTGTTTCCTGAATGTTACACAGGAATTGCGAGTAATCATTGGTGACGCCGTTTATCGAGTTATACACGTATTGTTATGTAGTCATTTGACATGACTCCTTCTGTGTGTAGGTCCTAAAACGTTCCTGAAACGAATTTATCTCCAACACCAGACACAGCGTACTAGACTAGCCACTGGAGCTCCACCCGGTTCACATAAAGTGGCGTGAAAGTTTCACGGTGAAACTGGGTGAAAAACGCGATATCCACGGTATGCAGTAGTCGACGACTACTAGTCGTGAGATATGTTTTTCACTAGTGTTTCCCCATATCACGGGTGAAACTCCATTCAGTGTGCATTGCACGAGGGAGCTCCTTATCTATACTCTGTTCGCCAGTGATAACGGTCATGTTGATGGCTCGCACTGGGCCGTTCCGTAATAGTCGTTAATTGTCGACGTTTATTACAAGAAGTATTTGGGTCTGCAGCCCAGCTCTGCTCAGTAGACTCTACTGACTAGAGTCTACTGGCGTGTGAAGAATGACAACTCAACTGAGATCTCACATACCAGAAAGCGATTGTGAATGCGTGACGATGGAATGATCACGCGTGCGTTACAAATGCGTACAGAGTGATG